GGTGTGTCTCGCTACTATTTATATTTTTTTCATCCATATACAGACTACAATCGGGGGTTGAATTATCAATTTTCTAAATTTTAGAGGTGTCCTAGGACCACCCTAAATCTCCATGAATACTCTTTAAGGGATCAAATATATCACAATATTGGGAGCTTACTACCTCTATAGGGACATACACCAAATTTTGGCTCAATTATAAATCCATGAATCTTCCTATGAACTCCAGAATCCTCTCCATCTATTCTCTACATATGAATGTTCAAATTGGTTGAGCCAGGATATTGTATAAGGGTTGCAACAAATGTTCGATAAAACCAATGTTTTTTTTTTGTTCATACCTTTAGTAAGGGCTAGACAAAAGAATGTACAAAGCTAATGTGCAAGAAGTGAAGATCAAACTGTTTGCAAAGCGTGCACAAGATGATAGAGAATATGACTTATCCACATGAGATGTGTACCAACACTGATTATTGACTAAACAAGTCGTTTGAACCAGATATTATTGTACAATATTTGAATCTATTTTTTCAAGAATTGCTACTTTGTTACAAGGTAATTATTACATTGTTACTCGTCATATTTTTTATCTAACAGTCATCGGGCAGTGACTTGAAGATATATAGTATATTCATGTCCAACTAACTATTGATGATCATTCAGCATCATGACATATATCTTTCAAATCCCACAATTCATGGTTCAAATCCCTTAAATATTGCCTAACTAAAAAAAGCATATATCACCATTATATATAAAAATCTATTGGGAAATATTTCGATTACATAGCATATTATATCAAAGAATAATCATTTTCTCTTATACTGTGTCATATCTATACAAATCTTATTTTATGGTAACCATATTATGTATAGTTGGACTGCTTAAGAAGATAATTTATCGAGGTTAGGTCGTCTGAACCACAATTCAATAATGGTTAATGTGATTTTTGGATGGAATTTTGGGTATAAGGGCATGTTTGATATTTTTCTAAAGTATAAGGGTATGATGTAAAAAATAGTGCATGTTTGATAAAATTGCATAGTAAATGTCCATATTATACCTATAACCCAATTATATTTAATTAGATTTCAAATTCATTTCTTAAAACTTCATTAGTCAAATACTTGAGTACTTTCCTACATTATTGATGGCCAATTACCAAACAAAATAGTCAGTACAAAGGGATGACAAAAATGTCTGTAACCGTGCCCGAATTTGATAGAATCGAGTAGGGTAAAACCGAACACGAAGGAATTTTAGTGGGTGCGGGTAAAATTCGAACCCGAATATTGCGAGTAATGGGTAGACATGATTTTCTCACTATCCAACCCGAACTCGCCTGATTATAACATGCATATGCATTTTGTCAAGAAAAAATTATTAATTTTCTCTACCGTATTTTATATTTAGCATATAACTATAATATTTTCATGAAATTATGTTGTTTTAATTAATTTTATTCACCCTAATGAATTATTGTCATACTTTTACACTTATGTAATGTGAGAAAATGAGTGAATGGTAACATATTGGTTGGAGTTATAAAGAGAAATTATTATTCATGGATGACCATGGATACCCGAAACCCGAACGGGCATGGACATGATTTTGATTTTTTACCCGTTTCTTATGTGGGTATGGGTAACATCCGAACTACTTTGGGTAGGATAACAGATATGCACTATCCGCCCGACCCAACCCGACCCATTGCCATCCTTAACAAGCATCAACAGCATGGTGAAAACAAATATATATAAGTTAGTCATATGTACTCAAATTTATCAAGCTTTCCCAATGAGGAAATTTGCCAAACAAAATAATTACTACAAGAATCAACGACACGAGTGAAACCAACATTTTGGTTTCACCTATTAGAAAGAAAACGTAGGGTTGCAATCCATCCAATACTTACGCAAGAAAGAAAGTAACACGACACACCTATTAAGAAAAAAATAGAGTTGCAATCCATCCAATACTTACACAAGAAAGAAACACACAACTACAAAATAAAATCAAGAAATACTTCAACAACAAGAACAACCCGGCCAACAGACGGGCCCTGTGCTAGTACTCTATAATCTAACACAATATTTATAAGATTTGTAGAAGTCGCACTCATTTAATTTGATGGCTCTTCAAATAAAATTTTAAATGGAGACTTTCTAACCACAATTTCAAGATCATTTTTTTTATTTTAATCTCCCCCGAGAGCATGAATGAAGATTGGATAAATGAATAACAAGTGGGGTGCCAAATATTGGAAACATAAGAAGGTTATAGATTTAGTCAAGAGTTAATATTTCAATTAAAAGTGTGAAAGTTTTGGCCGCAAAACGTGTATCCCTTACGTGAAAGACTAAGGGGTGGTTTGGAGAACGGGATTTAGGACATAGATTTATTGAATCCGTAGATATTGTAGAAAGTTATGTTTTTTTGCTGTTTTTTGTATTGTGGATTTTAGCTTTAGAAATTTCAAATCTCTAAAATCTACGGATATCAAATCTCTAATAATCAGAGAGATTCTCTATCTTTATTCGCGAGATTTTTTCTCTCCTACTTTTTCTCTTTCTTTTATTTATTTATCATATTAAATATATTTATCAACAAAGTTTTTAATATTTCTCGAACCACTCTAATTTTTTATTAAGGATAAACATGTTATTTAATATAAATTAAATTTTTTATTTTCATTGAATGTTAACAATCACAGATACCAAACAATAAACATTTTAAAATCTATTTTCAACAATCCGAAGAGTTAGAATCTTTAGATTGTTGACAATCTATAAATTTAAACTCATATTCTCCAAACGGCCCCTAAATATTTTTTACAGAATAAAGTAATTGTTGGTAAAAAAAAGCCTATATATATCGACAAACTCTTATCAATCTTTATTAGTGTCACACGTGATTGTACATTAATATTTTAGTGAAGAAGGTATATAGCAAATTAGCAATCAATTCAATTAAGGGTGTGCCTACGGTGACATGCATGTCACTGTGACTTGCACTTTCCGGTCGACCTCAGTTAGGATTAGGTCGACCTCATTTAGAATTCGGTCGACCTCATATAGGATCTGGTCGACCTCATTTAGGATTCGGCCGACCTCATATAGGATCAGGTCGACCTAATCTGTTGTTTCAGTGTAAAAATAGTTCATGGTGCCTACTTTGGATATTCATATCATACAATTGGCTCGATGGAAATTGAAGACTAATGACTTGTTTTGAAGCTGGAGTGTCCCTCTATATATTGAAGTGATTGAGAACTCGATAGGAAGTCCAGAAGACCATTTTTGAACCTCATCAAAAGGTTATGCCAAAACTGGGAAACTGCCTGGAAATGGCTAAGTCTGGAAACGTGTTTGTGAAGCCTATTTTGGAGCTCAATTCGAGAAGCATGAGTGCGAGTCGAGTCCAGGAGCCTCTACCACGTTAAATTAGGTATGTTTTTATACAAATTCAAGGCATTGGATGAAAGATTGGATATCTATAAGGCTTCAAACAAAAGGGTCGAAGTTGCTACGAAGGCTGTTTTTCTGGCAGACTTTGAGCACAAGCAAGCTGCCAGAAAAACAGCCTTCGTAGCAACTTCGAGCATTTTTTTTAAGCCTTAAAGATATTCAATCTTTCATCCATTGCCTCGCCTTTGTATCAAAAAATACGTAATTTAACTTGGTAGAGGCCCCTAGACTTGACTCGCATTCATGCTTCTCAAATTGAGCTCCAAAGTAGGCTTGACAAACACGTTGCCAGACTTGGCCATTTTCAGGCAGTTTCCCAGTTTTGGCATAGCCTTTTGGTCAGGTTCAAAAATGGTCTTCTGGACTTTCTATTGAGCTCCCAAGTACTTTAATGTGTAGAGGGACACTTCAGCTTCAAAACAAGCCTTTAATCTCCAATTTCCATCTAGCCAATTGTAAGATATGAATCTCCAAAGTAGACACCATGAAACTGTTTTTACACTGAAACAACAGATTAGGTCGACCTGATCCTATATGAGGTCGACCGAAAAGTACATGTCACCGTGACATGCATGTCACCGTAGCAAAGTCCTTCAATTAAATATCGTTATATTCATGATAAATATGATACTCTCAAACATATGTACATAATTAATCAACTTCAAAATTATTTTAATAATGAAATAAAAATAACCCCGCCAACGGGCCGGGTGGAAATCTAGTTAGTATAATTTGATTTCAACTTGACCTTAACCCTAGGACTAAGCAACGTGACCCAATATGTGAATGTGACCTACTCATGCCATCCATATCCAAATCGATTCGGGTTGGCTACATGACTCAAAGAAACCCCAATCTATTTAAGAGGAATCAGTATGTCACAATCATGTTGATTATAAAATATCTTAAGCTAGGTGGTTATACGGTTCGGTCCAGTTAAATTGGTCCGAATTGATCCGGTCCGGTCCGGTCTTTTCGAGAATATAAGGACCAAAGATTGGATTGGATACAGTCTGGGGTTGATTCGGTCTGGTCTTGAACCGGTCTGGTCCCTATTCGGTCTTGATTTTAGATTGAGCCTGTGGGGATTTGAGTGTCCTGAGGGGGGATTTGAGTGGCTTAAGGCTTGAAAGGGTGAGGAGTTTAAATTTTGGATGTTGGGCTCTCTTATCCGGTCTTTATCCGGTTTTTGGTCCGATACCAAACAATTTTTTACCTCAAATCTAAACCCAAAAATTGGATTGAATTGTTTGTTATACAGTCCCGATCCAATCTCAATCCGGATTATACGGTCCGATTTCGGGTAAAATAAAGGAGCCGGTACCAAATTGTGAGCCGCTATAGGGTTTCTTTTTAATCTCATCCGCAGCCTTGGACATTCTCTATGTTGCCCCAGACCCCTGCTGGACCAAATTAGCGGCAGCGGGTAGGCCGGTCCGAGAGTTTGACAAAGCGTCACAAAACGCAAGCCATCATCTGCGTTTTATCCAACCTTAAACCCTAGTATCTGTACTGCAAGTGCAAAACCCGCCCTTTTTCCTTCCTGACTACCTCTCTCTGAATTGGGGAAGCATTCATTCCCTGAACAACAATGGCTGATTTGTCAGTGAAATCATCGAAGAAGAAGAAGAGAAAGGCCCCGAATCTTGACGAGAAAGACAGACCATCAAAATCTCTGCGTGGTGATGGCTCCAGGGAGAGGAAGGAGCCTCAGGAAATTGCAGGCGAAGGCCGAAGTTCAGCCCTAGAAGAGCTTGGAGCAAGTGTCGAGGGCGGGCGCCAGCCATGGAGGAACCTGGAGCTAATTCTACTGCTCCAGAGCAAGGAAGTTGAGCTTTCAAAGTTAGTATCTCTTCCCCTATCATGGACACTTGAGTTAGTTTCCTTTCTTCCCCGGTTCATGGCTGAATACTCTGAACAAATTCGAATTCCTAGTTTGCCATCCCGTTTCTCTGCTGCTTCCTTTATTTTCACGAGTAGGAATTTGTGCATGTGAAATTGTAGTTGTTGCCTACTGCCCTATAGTCCTCTCTTCAATTACTATAGCTTGAGTGGAAGTAATGGTAGTTTTTCGAAGTGCTTCTGTATGTATGTGTGGATTGATGAGAGAGTTTCAATGCAGGAAGGTTGAAGTTGCTTTTAATTATGTGAATGGGAGAGGGAAAGAAAGGGTTGATGATGTTGACGAAGAGTTTGAAACAGTTAAGGTTGCCCGACTTGTGGTTTTCCTTAACAATTGGGTCCAGTCTCTGCTGCTCTCCGCTGACAAGAAACTGCGTGTTAACGAGGGAGAACTGAGAGAGGCATGTTTAGACCACAGATGCTGGGTCATTCTAAAGTTCTGCTTGCAGGAGTCTTTGAGATGGCAAGTTTCCTTGAGTTTCTCGCGTAATCTCTTACGGGCTTTAGGATGCGTTGCAAAAAATATGTATCTGCATTCAGGAGAATCATCTCCTGTTGGAGACGAAGTTGACTTTCGAACTGTTGTTTTCGACTGTGCCTCTAGCATGTTTGTCTGCCATGGTGGCTTGTCAAATGAGAATCTAGACCTATGGATTTCAACCGTCCAGACAGTTCTTGAACTTGTGAAAGGAATTTATCAGCAGAAGTTTGATTGTGGAGATGCAGATGTTCTGGCTCTGAAGTTCTCTTGCTTAGTTCTTGAAGCATTTTCCAAGTTTTTGAGGGTTCATCCTACTCGTAAAAATGGATTCCGGGACTTTGTAGATGGGCTGCTTGATCCACTGTTGTGCTTGTTGGGTATCTTAAATCATAAGTTAGATGGGACTGGCATTGCAGGAAACTTACTGACTGCGGTTGAGGAAATTTTGGCTCATGGAGTATTTCATCCAACACATATTGAAGGTTTTCTCAGCTTAAATAGTGCTGGAAAGTATTCCTCATCCATTGTTGATGACCAGAAGGAAACAAGAACAGTACTCAGAAGTTACCACAGACATTTCTTTGATAAGCTGGAGAAAGTCAGGGCTGCAAAAGGCGAGTCTTCCTTCAATGGCTTGGGACGATTATTCCGCTTGCTCATTGATTGTTTGAAAAGGCAAAAGATGGCCCCGTTACTGTCTGGCGATACCAAGAAGAGCGAGAAAACTGAAAGCTCAAAACACGTTTCTGGTACTGAGTCTAAGATGTTACACAGCTATTTAACTGCAGAGAAAAGAAAATCAATTTTTGAATTTTTCGTAGAGATCATGGAACCGCTTTTGTGTCAGATGAATGTATACACTCAAGCAAAGCTGGAATTGGATCCTCGGTTATTAGATGTTCATAGCACAATGAAGTCTATTAATGAATTACTAGAATGTTTTTTGCGGGAAAAATTGTATGTAAAAACAGAAGATGTATCTGGAGGAGCTTGCCTTAATTTCTTGAAGAAGGTTTATGAAACTGTATGCTCATTGGCAACCAATTTTCTTTGTTTTTTCACCTATGATATGGATGCCAAGGAGAAGACATTTGATTTGCTGGCAAGAGAGGTATTTGTTGCTGTAGGGTACCTTTTGGAGATTGAATATGAAGTCACTGGTAATAATTTAACCAGCTTGTGGCACATGATACTTTCTTACTTTGCTGTTGGCCATGGGTTCAAGAGTGCTTGTGATCAAGAGTCAATCACCTCCCTATTCATAGGACTTGGATGCCAGTTAATAAAGCTCTATAGTGAACTTCGGCAGGTTAGTAGAATTTTTTTCAGCTTCCCTAGTGGCAATTTATCTGGTACATTTTCTCAAGGGATGAAGTTGTGAAATAATTTTCTCATTGACTTAGTTGGATTTTATTTCTCACAATTCACTGGCTCTTCCTTCTGCATTCCCAAAATGTTACCGTTTCATTTCATTACTCAGCAATTTCTGTCCAAGTCATCGTCTTATAAATCTGTCTAATATGGAATTCTGAATTTTATAGGTGACAGTCGCAATATCTACTCTGTGTAAAGCTATCAGGCTTGTAGTAACTCGTGATAATGATGGTGATGGGAATCAAAAGGGTAATAACCCTATGTCCTTTTCATGCTTTTCTTATGACACGTATGGGAAAACTTTGGGACTTCTTTTATCTTCACAAGGATTTCGACTTGCCTTGCATAATGGTATTAAATCTCTACCAGAAGGACAAGCAAGTGATTGTGTGCATAAAATATGCACAGATGTGTCTGAATCCATTCAATGGATAAAAGATAGTGGTTCCATGGAAGATGTTATTAAGTGTGATGAAACGAGTCAAAGAAGTTGTAGAACCCTACATTTCAATATTCGAGAGGAAACTTTTGGAAGACTTTCTGAAGTTTACACGGTTGTTCTAGATTCACTTAATGTCACTGCTGGGAACTGCAACCTTGTTGAGGGGTCTCTAAGAGACTTAGTAAGCACAATAAGCCCATGCATGAGTATTTTGGTCGGGCAAGAATCAGATAATGCCAACCAGTTCCTTTATTTTGTTACTGGAAGATGTAGGACTGAGGATGAATCTGACCTGTCTGCCCACTGGGTCTTTCTATTTTTCTGCCAACTGTTCATGTCTTGTCGAAGCTTGTACCGCCAGGTAATCAGCCTTATGTCTCCAAGTTTGGCAAGGAAGATGTCAACCGAAACAGGTGACTTGCATACTGCTTACTCTGGAAAGGATTGGACGGAGAGGACAGAATGGACATTTGAAGGATATTTCTCCTGGATCCACCAGCCATCAGCTTCTCTTCTTGACATTATACAGTCCACTTCTGATTATTGTTTCGGGAAGAGGATTGTCAATTCCTCCCCCCTGGTTTATATATTCCATGCTATGGCTCTTCAGAGGCTAGTTGATCTGAACAGGCAGTTCAAGTCTCTAGGGTATATACTGGACAACAATGATAAGATCGTCAAAAACAAGTTGTTTGATGATGCTGGCTCATCTCTGTATCGTAAAAGGAGTAGAAAGTTGGGTAAACACATCTCTGTCTTGAAGCAGGAGGCAACTGATCTTACTGAGTATGTGATGAGTTACCTCTCGCTAGTGGTTGGTGATCAACTCTGGGCTGGCCTTTCTAATGTTTCAAGCCCTGAAAGTTGTCCTGTTGAAGCTATCCATGAACCTTATCAGTGGGACTGGAGTGTTTGTTCTATCCACAAGAGCTCGTTGCCTATTGCTCTCTGGTGGATTGTTTGCAGAAACATCAATGCTTGGTCTAATCATGCTAGTAAGAAGAAGTTGAAGATTTTCCTCTCATATATGATTAGCTCTTCACTTCTATGTATGGGAAGTAGCACTATGCAGGTGGGAAAGCTGCATGGGAATGAAGCTCATATGCCAAGCAAAATCTCTCTGCATCAGATATCATCAGAGCTTATCATGGACATCAACCTATACGAGTATAAAGTAAGATCTTCCATGAGTATAATGCTTTTATTCTTCAATGATGGTTTCTAAAATTTTGGCACACAAGCACATATGAATGATTGGAGCGATGCTACAGCTATATTTACTGTTAATGATTATTTCTGAGAGCAAGTATTCATAGACTAACTATTCTTGATAAGCTTAGATTCTTTATACGTCCTAATTTTTTAGTAGTTTGTTTGCAGGCTATTCACCTCAAGATTTTGTCATTTGCTTGAGAGATCAGTTCTATCTTTATTTGCTGAGTTTATGATCATGGACACAGACTTGAGTTCTTCACCCGATTGGCAAGAGGTTTTAAACAAACTTGGAAACTTGCCGGCTGTCATCCCAAGGAGCAAACAACTTGGATGTTTCTCCAGTGGTGAAAAAGTGCTTGAAGAAGGGTTTGTGATGCGTCCACATAGTTCTAAGGAGCTGATTGAATTTAAATGTACTTCCTGTCAGAAGTTACTAAATCTTTTGAGTTGGGTGCCAAAAGGATATATGAATTCAAGATCATTCTCCCTCTTGATGACTTATGTGCTCAACCTGGAAAGGTAAACAGCCTCTTATCTATCTTCTGGTTTTCTACATTTACGTAAGTGTTTGTGCTAGTCTAGCAAGGATCATATTGGCCTAGGAGAGCTGTCTGTATATTAAGAAATATAATATCCTAATGCAGAATAGGAACTATAATATTCATTTTGGTGATATATACAACATATGAACTTTGTATAACATTGCATTGTATATTGCAGGCTTATAATTGGATACTTAGTAAACTACCATTCAAATTGGTCGTATAAGCATCATGAATTGTTGAAACTGTTTGTGTGCTGCCGGAGGGCCTTGAGATACACAATAATGGCATTTTGCGAGGATGGGGTTGCTCAGCGATCACCGGATATACCTGTAGTGTCTGGAAACATACATGTGGTTCATTGGCTTATCAAGTCAGTTTCTGTTACTGTTGGGCTTCAAGAAACTCCGCCACAAGATTATGTAGATGAAGTTCGAGGGGCAATCTTCTCAATCATGGATCACACATCGTATATATTCTTGACCTTAAGCAAGTATCAATCTTCATGTGCTTTCCGCTCTTCACTTGCTAGGAAAGCAAGCAAGCAACTTTTTGGTTCTAATGTTGTTGAGGAACAGAGTACTTTAACTGAATCCAATCCAAGTTCTGATGATCCTGAAGAATTGGTAGCCTTACAAAGCTTTCTTCTTCTTTCTGAGAGTTTAAAGAAAGAGTCAGAACACATACTTAATTCCTTAAATGCTTTTCATTGCAATGACAATTTGAATGATGAAGTTGGTGCTGTGAATTTGCACAAACTATCCTCTGCAGTTTCTTGCTTCAGTGGTTTCTTGTGGGGCCTTGCTTCTGCCTCAGACGACTCTCATGCAACAGATAAGAAGCTTCAGGAGCAGTTTCTGGGATCAAAATCTGATCTTATAGCTACAATTCGTTCCTGTATGAATCTGTTTTCTGAGTTCGTTAGAGTCTGCTTGTACATGTTTCAGGCTGAGGATAAATATGCTAGTGTTGGTTTGTTGGATGCATGGAAACTCTCGTTCTCTGTGGAGAGTGATACTCCATGCTGCAAGTATCATGTAAAATGTCAAGGACAGGGAGACGAGAAGGAAAAACCTGACATTGGTAGTGAGCCACAGAATATGCTGTCAGAAGATAAGCATTCCACTACAATTCTTGTGGGAGGCAGTCATCCTGAAGGTGGGAACTTAATCAGACAGCTGTTACTTGCTTCTTCAGCCATTCTGAAGCTCAACTTGAAAATGAAGGTTAAAACTTGCTCGACCTTGGTTTCAAGCTCTATAAGTATATCTGAAGTTTTGCTGCTGAAGTTCACAGCTGTCCGCGAAGTGCCAAAACCATACTCTTTCATTTGGTTAGATGGGGTTCTGAAGTATCTCCAAGAACTCGGGAGTCAGATTTGTTCTAGTAGCTCTGCATCACCCAATGATCCTTATACCCAGCTTGTGGAGTTGCACTTGAAGGCTATAGGAAAGTGCATCAGTTTACAAGGGAAAGGAGCCAATCTTGCTTCCCATGATACTGAGACGAGTTTTAAAGTTATACCTGGACATTCAGGATCACCTGAAGTATCACTTAGTCATGGGCCCCACTACTTGCATGAATTTATAGCAAGAATGAGGCTTTCATTTCAAGTTCTTGTAAGGAAATCGCCCGAGTGGCACCTACTGTCCGCAGTTCAGACTATAGAGAGGGCACTGGTTGGAGTGCATGAAAGTTATGCAGTTATCTATCAGATAACATTTGGAGGTGCAAATGGTGGAAGCATTTCCCCAACAGTTGCAGCTGGCATAGATTGCCTTGATCTAGTTCTGGAGTATGTTTCAGGTAACACCTTTGAACCCCACTACAGTGATCAGGTCAATGTTTTCTTTGGTGGCTTGTGATAAGTCCTTCCTATGTCCCTGATGTATGTTAACTGTAAGAGCTTTTAGTGGTAGTTGATTTATTTTGTTCAACTGTAGTTCAAAGAGTTCCGAACAGAACTGGGTTGTAGTCCCTTTACCTGATTTTGCTGCTATTTTCTTTTAGCTGTTGGTTTAAAGGCTTAATAGTTTGCACAAGGCTTTATTCTCAAACTTGATGTTTTATGAGACTAGATGATGCGTTTGTTGTTCGGATTGGAACTTCAAATATCTGTCACCTTCTCTTCTTATCTTTTGTAGCATATCTATTTCTTAATCCAAACATTAGCAGCATATGCCTGCAACTGAGTTAATATTCTTCCACTATCCTTGGTGTTCAACACACAACTTGCATCACTCACTCTGTGCTATATGGTTATGTGATGTTCAATAGCATGGAAATTTCAGTCTTGCTTATGTTGGTGTTATTCTTTTGCAGGAACCAAACAGTTAAATGTTGTTAAGAAACACATTCAAAGCCTGCTCTCTACTTTATTCAACATTGTATTGCACCTGCAAGGCCCCTCTATTTTCACCAGAAGAGAAGCTTCTGTTAGGAATGATATTTGTCCAGATCCAGGGGCAGTCATTCTGATGTGCGTTGAAGTAGTAACGAGAGTGTCTGCAAAGTCTTCTCTATTTCACATGGATTCCTTCCACGTGGCACAGTCCCTACGCCTTCCTGCTGCACTTTTTGAAGATTTTAGTCAGCTCAGGTATTCTGAGGGCCTAGACAGATATCTTGTCAAGGACATGAATCCTCCCTCCCATGTAGACAGACACTTCTCTGTTGAGTTGTACGCTGCATGTTGTAGATTATTGTGCACGATTCTGAAGTACCATAGAAGGTAATTTCTCTGCTTGACATTATTCAAAGAAGCTTTGCTTAAACGATTTTACTGCTTTTAGTTTAATCATTCTGGCTAAGAAAAAGTTAGCATAAAACTGAGAAGAATGGCAGACAAGTGTCATGTGTCAATCAACATGTGCCCTCCATTAAGAGGATGAAACAATGTGGGCTCACTTTCATTGTGTTATTCTTTCAGCAGACGCCTTACATCAAGTCTTGGTTTGTTTTTGTTGGCTTATTAAAGGGTTTTTATGCTACACGAGTGATTTAATGATTGTTTTTCAATTATAGTGAGTCAGAGCGGTGCATTGCGCTCCTTCAAGAGTCTGCCAGTGTGCTGCTGAACTGTTTGGAGATTGTCGATTCTGATTCGGGCTCAAAAAGAGGTTACTTTTCATGGAACACTGAAGAGGGAGTAAAATGTGCTTGCTTTTTCCGAAGGATCTATGAAGAGGTATGTAATGATCTCATAATCTTGTCTCATTTATTGGGAATATGAAGTCCCATTCAATTATCTAATAAAATAGGTGACTATAAGTGCACTTGATCACGAGCTCTGTACATCTTAAGTTTCAGTCCCCCAGTGAAATTAGCCTAAAGAATGTGCTATTCATAAAACATTTGTGCTTTATTTGAACTGTGATTTGTTCAATGCTTTGGTTGACTGGATGCCTAACTGGTTTTCTTTCCCACCGTCTGTTTCTTTGTTCCCAGCTACGACAACAAAGAGATGTATTTGGCCAGTACTGTTGCAAATTCTTATCCAGCTACATATGGCTTTATTCAGGAATGGGTCCCCATAAAACTGGCATAAAAAGGTGGGCAATCGTGTAAACTCACATAGATACCCATGCATCACCCTTTATTTCATTGAATCACAAGGACAAAATCCTTAACAGAGACAATTTTCTCATCCTGATAACATGAACAGGGAAGTAGATGAAGCCCTTAAACCCGGAGTCTATGCACTAATCGATGCTTGTCCCGCTGAAGATCTTCAGAGTCTGCACGATGTGTTTGGAGGTAAGGAAAACTTCATTTTTCTTGTTTAGTCCGTACTTGTATGGTACTGTGCCATGGAAGTTACAATTCACTTGTTGCGAATTCTGATTGGTGTTTGGTCGTTATTTCCAGAGGGTCCCTGCAGAAACACATTAGCAGCTCTCCAACATGATTACAAACTAAATTTCCAGTACGAAGGAAAAGTCTGATTGAAACAGCAGAAGGCTCTGCTTGCTGGTGCGTAGAATCTGGGCTTTATATTATCCCGTGACAAGTTTAAATTGCTTTGCTGCTTTGTTGTACCTTAGGTAATTCCAACTTGTGAGTTAGCTAACTGCCATTTGTCTGCTGATGATATATCGAAAAATGAAACTGTAAATGGTCTTCTCCACAAGAGCCATGTTTATTTTTTTACCTGGGATAGGTGGATGATGAACAATGGAAACGGTCAAATGATAGTGTGATATCAGGGAAGATTTTAGGGATGATTCATTCAACAAATTCCTTGTGTTTTCTCATTACACAATCTTTACCTACTCTTACGATGGCTGCTAAGTACAAATGATGTCTTCGGTCTTTGTGTTAATTTGTTTTCTACATATTTATTTTTTATGGCATTCTTCTTACCCAAATGCCAGTTTTGGGAACACGCGACGATTTGGTCAAACTAATTCTGATGACCGATATCATGTCATGAACCAGTTGATCCCAATAACTCGAGTTGTTGGTAGAAGGTTATGTTGGATCTTATACCATTCTATAACAATTAAAACATATAACCAGGAATCAAAACAAACAAAACAATAATATTGAATACCCACCTTCCGTTTTGCTTTCTCCCCTATAAAATGAATGGCAATAGGCAGGTCCGGGCGGGTATCTCGATACCCATACCCGCTCCGTGACAGGTCGGACAATTTATCATGGGGCACGGGTCGGGGCAGGTCGACCCATTGGGTATATAATTTAGCGAAAAACATTAGAATTATTCATTATTTTAATTAAAAGACTAAGAAAGAAACCATAATTTGATAAAATGTAGTTAAATTATTGAAAATTGAGTTTTTAATTTATTTACAACTTTATTATACCTAAAATATAATGTAATAAGAGGAAAATTCTAAGTAATTTGACTAAGATTACATATATCTTAGGTCAGAACGGGTCGAGAATGGGATGGATCAGGGCAGGTCGGGTCGATGAGAGGTACCCATTCCCGCCCTGTCCCGCCTACGAAGCGGGTCAGACCCGCCCCAAAACAGGTCGGATAAATCGGGTCAGGTCGAAATTGCCATCCCTACCTATAATTACACTCCCCCTTCCCACTCCAAAGTACAAACCGCCCCCAAAAAAATTTCTGAACAACCATACACCAAATTAGCTCTGAACCAGAAAGCACTCCCAGAAACCAAAGCGAAACCACAATGCATTACTACAGACGAACAGGGGACTCGATCTTCGATTCCTTCACCCTAAACCCGCTCCCTTACCCAGTCCTCCTCCTCCTCGCCGTCATCGCCATTTTCCTCGGCGCCTCCTGGTACTTCACCTACGAGGAGCTCGTGTACTCCACGGAGTCGTCAATGGGCCTGGGCCTCTTCGTCCTGCCGGTCCTCCTCATCTTCCTCGCCCGCTGGCTGTCCTCCGTGGAGTCCCGCGACGCGTTCTTCTTCGGGATGTCGTCACCGTGGGATCGCCGCCGGCGAACCCACCAGCCGCCGCCGTCGGAAGGGAGCTCGCCCTGGGGAGTCGTCGCGGTCATCGTGCTGCTCCTCGTCTTGTTGCAGTACCAGTCTTCTTTCCTTGATAGCTGGTTCTTCTAATTATAATTTCAATTAATTTCCGGATTTGCTTCATTACAACGGCGATTAAATTAGTTAAGCATAGGAATGTGGAGCTTAGAGATATGGGATTTGTACGATACATCTATGGTTTCTTCGTTGTAATGTAATTCATCCAAAAACAGAGTAATCTTATTTCCTTTGTACTTGGGAGCGCTAATTAACAACCCATGGGGAGAATGTATTTGGGAGTAAGATTGAAAGGAGAATCCCAAGCATAAGAGAAAGACAGCGATCCTCCAGCTTTGAGCTGCAGGCCATCGTAGAGCAGACACTGGTCTCCGTTCACTTTGAGCACCGACGGACTAACCGGTTCTGCACTCTGAAAGCCTTGGCACGAGAGCACAATCGTCTTAATAGGACATTTACATCGATTGGTGAACGTTACGTTCCACTCTGTTTGCCCTTTAAACTCTCTTCCACTCCTCACCGTGCCAATCAACATATCGTTCAAATCGCAAGCGCACAAGCCTGCAAACAAAGCAAAGAAAACGATAGGTAGAAAGGTATATTACACACAAAAATTCGTAGTGAAAACTTTTGTGCATTGAATACGTTTCGACTTCGAGAGAAGTGATGGTGTTATCGTTTTTTTACCTTTAGAAGCAAGACTGAGAACGACGAGAAGTGCAACCAGAGAGATAGTATTTCTAAGGCTTGACATTGTCATTGCATATGGTGGTTTCAAAGGTTTGATTTAGATTTATTATGATATTTTTGATGGGTTATAAATAGATAGGAGAGTCTCCTAGTTTATGGCAACTCATTTAATTTTTTTGTAGTCAAAGTTCCATTATGGTAAGTTATACATTTACTTGTGAAAGTAATAAAACTCTTACCAAATGTGAAATATAAATTTCAGTTTCATTTACTTTTTGTTTTACCAAATCGAAATCATTTGTGAAACAATGAATATATCATTTGCGTATTTTTGCTTGAACTATCACATTTGATAGCAGAGGGCACTCCGTCAAGAACGAGATATCTCTGTTCCGCCTGTGTCAGGTTTGTTGCCTCGTCCTAGCAATGATGATTGGAGGTGGTTATGGTCACTCTCACTCCCACCTAAGATCCGGTTCTTCATATGGAAATGTGCCAAGGGAGCTTTGGCTACTCGATCAAGGCTGTTCTCCCGGAATTGTGCTGCAAATCCAAGTTGTCCAGTCTGTGATGGGCCAAGTGAAACTGTTCTCCATTGCCTCATCCACTGCCAGCATGCGGCAGCAGCTTGGGAGACGACCGGGCTTCTCCCCTCCCTCCCTAGCAACGACTCGACGCTCTCCAATTGGTTCTTTGGCCTCAATAATGGATCTTTTTCGGTTGAGAGAATTCGAAAAATTGCTTGGTGTCTGTGGAATATTTGGTTGGCTCGAAATGGCTTTGTTTTTTAGGCTACGGTTCCTTCCCCGACCAGTGTGGCAATCAAGTCTGAGCGTGATTTTCTTTGCTTTGAGGAAGCTCTAACAAGTTCTTCATCATCCTACCGGTCAGCTCATTTGCCATCTCAGCCTAGGGGATCCCGTTCTCACCCCTCACCACCGCCTGTTTCTTTTCAGAAGTTTGTTCACTGTGATGGTTCGTTCGTTTCGGATTCACAGGTGGCGGCGTATGGGATTACTATTGCTAATTCCCGTGGTCAAATGTTTGACGGAAAGGCTGAGACTTTCTTTTGTTCCTATCTGATTCAAGCGGAAGCTCTTGCTCTTCTCAACGCAGTCCAGGTTGCGGCACAAGAGATCTGCCCTTCTCATGTTTTTTCAGACTGTCAGGTCCTGACAAGTGCTTTGAGGAAGCCTCCTGATCTCTGGCCGTGGCATTGTCGGGCGACCTTGGCAAGAATCATTTCTGTCCTCCATGAAGCCCCTTGGATCAAAGTGGATTTTGTGCCACGGCTCTTAATGGTTTGGCGGACTGGGTGGCTCGAAATGCTCGTGTCAATTCGCTTCCTTTGGATTGGATTGTTGTTGTTGATTTGATCTCTCCACTTCTGTAATCTGTTGCTTCCCTTGTTTCGGATCGGAATAAAAGTCCTATCTTTCAAAAAGATAGCAGCCAATCTTATAGTTTGGCCTCTATACTACACCATTTGAGCATGCCTTGAAAAAGAGAACAAATAATTTAAGATGTGAGCATAAAAAAACTTACTAGATCGACTTGTCTTGTTTGGATTCTGCTCGAAATAGAAAATGAACGGTTCCGACCTTTATACATTTGTACAATTGTCACACCAAAAGTGAATATGATGAAAATCAATCACCAAACCAACAAAAGTGTTCGATAAACGAAATAAACGCTCCATTTGATTTTCATTTTGACGAGCTCTTGTAAGCATTTGAATTGCCATCGAGGAATCAAACTGTGGGTGAACTCTTCAACGCAATGTCGACGTATGAATCATCTCAAACATTATTGAGATGAATCATCTCATTATTATCAGTATATGATGGATAACTCGTTTGAATTGAGTTAACTCACATTAGAGAATTCGTTTTCAACAATATTTATTTCAAATGATTGTTGACTCCGGGATTCAAATCTAGAGAGTGGTAGAATTTTGATCCTCATATTATCGCTAATCTAACCGCTTGAGGCTTAAACAAGATTATCACTGTTATTGTATTGATTTTAGAGTTAACCTCAAATTCCGATCCTTTTTCACGGCGTCTCCGATAACCAGACCAAACAAACTAGAATGTATCCGTTGCCGCCATTTTGTTTGAGATTACCTCAATCGTTCACATTTTATATGAACTTTGTCATCTTTTTATGTACACCTGAGAAGATTTATCGTGTTAGTTTGCAACGAAAGAAAAAACCACTCTTCATTCCGTCGAATTTTAGATAAATAAATTGACAGAGAGTTGTGCTAATTCATTTTGCACTATAGCAGAACCAAAGGTACAGGCAGCGATCGAGTAGCGTACGATTTCCTTTTATTTTACCAGCAAAAATGGAGGGTTTTGAAACAAACTAACAACCCATGGGAACAATGTTAAGAGGTGTAAGATTGAAAGGAGAATTCCAAGCGTAGGAGAAAGACAGAGAGCCCCCAGCTTTCAGTTGTGTGCCACTGTAAAGTAGGCACTGACCTCCGTTTACTCTGAGCACTGTTTGGCTGATTGGTTCCGCAGTTTGAAACCCTTGACACGAAAGCACGATGTTCTCGATCGGACATAGGGATGTCAAAAATATCCGTAACCGTGGATATCCGCCCGAATCCGACCTAATCGAGTAGGGTAAAACTCGAACTCGAAGGACTTTTAGTGGGTACGGGTAAAACCCGAACCCGAATATTGCGGGTAATGGGTGGGCATGGTTTTCGCACTATCCAACCCGAACCCGCCCGATTATACACATGCATCTGTATTTTGTCTAGAAATAATCAATATTTTTCTCTAACATACTATATTTAGCATATAAATATCATTTTGTTTATGAAATTATGTTGTTTTAATTAATTTTCTTCATCCTAGTGAATTATTGTCGTACTTTTCGTCTTACGTAACGTGAGAATACGTGTAAATATTAACATATTGGTTGGAGTTATAAAGAAAAACTATTATCCATGGATAACCGTGGATACCCAAAACCCGAACGGGTATGGGCATGGTTTGGATTTTCTACCCGTTTCTTATGTGGGTATGGACATGGGTAAAACCCGAACAACTTTGGGTAGGGTAACGAATATGCACTATCCGTCCCCGACCCGACCCATTGCCATCCCTAATCGGACACGAGCATCTGTTCGTAAATGTCACGATCCATTCCGTCTGCCCTCCGACCTCTTTCCCACTTCTCATCGTACCGATTAGCATGTCGTTTACGCTGCATGCATACGCACACTCTTGCAAACGAGAGGAACAAACAAAGACAAAAAGCTGTTCGTGCATTTTGTTGACATTCCAATCTTATGACATTTATTATGTGGTAACGTGGTTGCAATCGAAAATTATGAATTGAATGTGTTCCGCGACTTCGAGAAAACTCATTATGATGTCACGTTTTGTGTGTGAAGAGTATGAGAGTATGAGAAAGTTTGTTTTCCTCTTTACCTTTGGAAACAAGGCAAAGAAGGATGAGAATCACTGAAACCAGAGGACTACTGCCACCACTGAGCCTCGACATGATTGCTGCTGTGCCTGATAGCAAGTTTTACTGGCTCGATACTACTTTGCTGGAATTCTTTTTTTTCATGGAATATATCAATATAAATAGAGAGCAGACCTCCTGGTTAATTGCAATTAATCAAGTTTCTCTTTGTCAATTTTTCATTGGTGGTAAGTTATCCAGAATTCCACATGTGAAAGCAAAAATTTCAAATTCTTACCAAAAAGAAAAATTCAAAATTTTACCATAAAATAAAATAAGAATGATCTTAATTTCAATTTTTAACTAGCTGACGCTATTTCTATTTAGAACCAACCAAAATTCAAATATCACAATACGATCATTTAAATCTAACGAGACACATAATGAATAAAGTGACATACTATATTAACCAAATAGAGCTAGCTAGTTAAGTAGTCACGCCTCCATAAAAAAGATGTCGAAGTCAATTCCTTTCATCTTCATCCTTGTAATTTTTAAAAGAAAATACCAAATGGAATTGAGTGCCCAAGCAGATAAGTCTAGCCTACACCCTGGAAGAAAATTCGCACTTGTAAATAGTTAAGGCTCGTTTGCGTCGCGGATTTGAAAAATGAAGGTTTTTGGTATAACTTAGGTTTTAAAAAACCATGGATATATGAGGGTTTTAGGTTCATTATGGATTTAATAAACACCATTGTTTGTTTGATGGATTACATGATGAATTTTGTTAATTGAAATTGTATGTATGAAATGTAATTTATCTTTATTGCCCTCAATGGTATAAGAAGAGAAAGCAAATATGAAGGGTAGGTTGGTAAAAAATGATAGACTTCAAAGTCCATAATCAATTCTCACCTCAATAGGTGGAACTTTCAAGTCCGTGGGGTCCATGAATTTTATCTCTTAGGGGTCGTTTGCTTGTTGGATTTGAGTCATGGATTTGGTACCTAAATCCCAAGTTTGATGGATTTAACACAAGTCCATTGTTTGTTGATGGGTGTCAAATCCGTGGGGTCCACGGATTTGGTCTTTAATTTGGGACCAAATCCGTGGACCCCACGGACTTGTAAATCCCACATATTTGTTTGGGATTTGTAAATCCATGATGGTTGTTAGTTGCTTATGTGACAAATCCATCATAAATTCATTATCAATTCTATCATGCAAACACTAGACTTTTCAAATCCATAATACAATAAATCCCTCATGAATCCCTAGGTTTTTGTTGCACAAAACCTTCATTTTTCAAATCCAACAAGCAAACGACCCCTTAAAGTTCGTGGGGTCCACGGATTTGTTTCCCCTAAATGCATGAAGCAAACAATGAATTTTTGACAAAGTCCATGATAGATCCAA